GAAATTGCAGAGTCCGGCTCCATCGCCGCCTAATCTGAATTCTGAGGAGGCTAGGCTAGGCTGGGCTTCTTGTTCTACAAAACGACTGCCTATCTCATTCGAGGCTCTCAAGACCTTATCACCTCTACTCTGCGTTGTCTGTCTGTCCGTGTCTGTAACGAAACGCTTAAAACTTAGCACCTTTATATCATATTTAGAAGAAGAAAGAAAGCATTTGATTTTTGTAGATTTCAGAATTTGGATTAAGGTACAAGAAGAAGAAGAAAGAGTTTGATTGAGTTGGCGCGATGGAATTGAATCGACTCACTCTAATCCATCTCTCGTATGATTCAGATTGTAAAATCTAGTTCTAAATCCCTAATTCCTGAAATACGAGGAGTGGAGGGAGGAGGGACTGTGTTCTCTCGTTTCATCTCATAATTTCTTTTCCCTTCTTCTTCCCTTCCCTCCTGAATCCCCACGCTCTCTGCGCCACCTGTCTCTCATTGTGAATCTCTCCTCTATTTGCACGCGCCTCTATTTCTTTCTCTCTGTAGCAGCTTGCCTTGTGTATTGTATTCCACTGGTTTCGTTGATGGTTTCACTCAGTTCAACGTCATCTCATATTCAACCCTTTTTACTATATTAATTGAATTTCATTAATCAATTATAATATTAATAAGGTTGACAATTTTTACACACCTCATTCTGGGGTGGTTTGAGAGTGAGATGCTTAAAAAAAAAACACACATGAAAAAAAACTGTGAGGGTTTTAGGTGTTTGGTAAACTAAAAAAAAAGACTTATTTTGGAAGCTGCTGTGTGAATAAGCTGAAATCCAATGAAAAAGCTGAAGCTGCTATTTGCAGCTTTGGAAAACTGGCTTTTTTTCAAAGCACACGGAGCTACAATGCTCCTTTAATAAAAAGACCCACTATCAGACTGTTTTTTTTTTTTTTCCAAAAGCACTTTTACAAAAAAGTTTACCAAACACTCTACTGATTTATTTCACAACCACTTATTCTCACAGCACAACCGCTTATTCTCACAGCAGCTTTTTTTCAAAGCACAGCAATACCAAACTAGCCCTCTATCTCTTACACAACCTTCTTTTTATTCTTGTGATATTTGTTTGCTCTTACATCTCTTTAGTCCATAATTTTTTTGAAATGTCTTATGAATTTATACACATTTTTCAATTTGTCATGTGAACTAAAATTTTAAGGGATTTGTCATAACAATTTTTTGAAATCATTAATTTATCATCTTACCCTAACTCCGTTAAGTTTTCTATCCAAAATAAATCATGTGACTTATGCTCAAGGTTATTTCGAGCATTTCAACATCTCACCCCCTTCTAATAATTCGAATAATTTTTAATTCGAATAAAAAAATTATAGGGTTTCTCAAAAAATACGAAAGGGTTTGATATGGTATACGAGGATTTGAGGGTTTGCCATTCGGAAAAAGGGACCTCCAATCTATGGTAAAGTTGGATGATATTATTTATAATGTCCGAAATAACTCTGAACATTCATGTATAAGGCACATGATTTATTTTGGATAGAAAACTTAACGGAGTTAAGATGAGATGACAAATTAATGATTTTAAAAAGTTGGTATGACTAGGGCTGGATAAAATTCCCGAATTACCCGAACCCGACCGAAAAATTCCCGAACCCGAAACCGAAAAATCCTGAAATCAAAAATCCCGAAAAGTTCGGTAACCCATACCGAAATAATCCCGAAACTACGGTATGGGAATCGGGAATGGGTTGTCAAATGTTCGGTAATCCCGAACCGATATATACATATATATATTTATTTATTTATATATTATATATACTTGAATAAACCTTAAGCGTTGGATTCGGTTGAGATTAAATCTCAACCGTTGGCTAAAAGCCTAAAAGACCTCACTCTCTCTCTTTTCTCAAATGAATATGCGATGCTCTCTCTCTCACACTCAAACAGAAACCTCTTGGATCTCTCTGTACTGTCTCATCTCCTCATCTGCTATGTCAACACTCAACAGGCTCGGACTCAACACTCTCAATCGTCTTTAGACTCTCTGCTCTCCTCCTCCTCCGATTGTCACAAACTCAACATGCCGGCCGTCGAGTCATCGACCACTACACCATATTCCAAATCCAAACTTCCACGGTTCCACCTCCAACGACCTCCATATCGAAGCTTCTCCAATCTGAAGGTGCCAAACTTCATGAAATTATTGTACCTTGATTTGGATTTGGATTCTGAAATTGAGGATTAGGGTTTTGAACTTTCAATTTGGGGATTTAGAATTAAAATTAGGATTTCTGTTTTGAAAATCCCCTAATTTCAGTTAATGCATGCTTGATTTCTTTGTATTTTTCTGCTTTTGAATTTTGATCAACGGCTTCTTCGATCCTTGACTGTCTGATTTTTTATGGGTTGTCTGCAAATTTGGGATTAGGGGACTGGAAATTTGTTATTTGGGGACTGCATTCATTCGATCTTCCTAAATTAGGTTGATATCTTCTGATTGCATTCATTCCCGATCTCGAACCGAAAAACCGAAACAATTTCGGGATTCCCGAAATTCGGGAATACCAAATTTCTGGTACGGTTTCGGGTTTTAGAATCTTATCCCGAAGATAGTCGGTTTGGGATTCGGGCTTTGGGTTTCGATTCGGGATCCCGACCCGAACCAGCCCTAGGTATGACAAATAGCTTAAAATTTTAGTTTATATGACAATTCGATAAAAGTGTGTAAGTTCATTGCAGAGGAAAGCGAAAACCCTAACACTATATTTGGATGAGGGAAATAAATTTGGAATTTGGATTAAAGTTATAATTTATAAATTGACATACACCCTTGTTTTGATTCATAAATATAGAAATTTAGAATTTTCGCATTGAAAATAACTTGGAATTTGCCTTCAATTCCCAAGTTTAAATTCCATATAAATAGGTGTCATTTCCCATTTTCTATAATTGAGAGTTTAAAAATAACAAATTTCGTATACAATTTCATTTTTTTTGTTAACTAAACAAGAAAATTCACAAATTTTAGACAATAAAATATCGTCATTTCAATTTCCGTCATTTTAAAATTCCTTAATAATCTTAAATTTATTTATCCAAACATAATGTAATTTCTTCTTGCAATTATCTCCATTTCCATTATTAAAGCAAAGCAATACATTTCAGGTGAGATTGTCGCGAATCGAGAGCAACAAGGCGAAGCGATTTGTCGGAGATGACATTAAGTGCGTCCACGTCCGCACCACCAGCAGCGGAGATGAGAGGCCCTGTGCTATGCTATGTATATATTTTCCCTCTTGTACCTTGGATATACTTATACGATGATGCCCATTGCCCACCACAGTAATTGAAACCAAACAATGTCATTTAATTGTCACCAATTGCAGCAGAGATGAGAGGCCTGTGCTATGCTATGTATATATTTTTAGGAAAACTAATAAAAAGAGCTTGAAAATTTTGAGTTTAATGATAAGGACAAAATAAATGGTAAAGTGAATAGTACTAGGTTTGACTTTTTAGTGTAAAAATGTGGTTTTTCGTTAAAATGAACAGTACCATGGGCGGCAATGTGGTATTTGATGCTAGAGATTAGGGTTTTTTATCGTTTGTTTTCTGCTACCTTCGGGTCTAAGCTTGTGTAGGCCTCCCGTTGTATTTTGGGTTGCTGCTCTCAATTTGCTTAGTTCGGCATTGTTCACTTTAACGAAAAATCATATTTTTACACTAAAAAGTCAATCATAGCACTATTTACTTTACCCTTTATTTTATCATTTTCATTAAAACTCAAAACTTTCAAACTCTTTTAATTAGTTTTTCTTATTTAATATTGACGCATTCATTTAATTTTTTAATGTAATCAATGGGATTATGGCTCTTGGATACCTACTACATTACGTAAGCAACCAGAGAAAGAGGCGGGAGACTAAAGCCGTAGAGGTTAGAAGAGCGCACACGCGTTTTGGACGCGGGAGGTGGCTGTACGTGGATTCCACGGACATGATTCCGCAGAGTGGAGATGGAGTAGGCACTTGCGCCAATGCAACTTCCAGGAAGAGGAGAGGGATGGAATTATCACTTATGGGACTCGACTCGAGAGGGCAGATAAATTTGCAAAGGGTAGTGTATACTTGACATTGTGCACTTCTGTTCCTTCCTTCAGGATTTGGATTTGCATTGAAGTACCCTCTATTTAATTAAATTCTAATTAACAAAAAATGGCACTAAATAGGGACAAAGCCCAGCCCAGCCCAGCCCAGCCTGTGAGGGAGAAGGACCAAATGGAAAATGGGGAATGCAACTGACAACTTATTGCTTGTTCCCGCTCTGGACTGTTGAGCTGATGATGGATTGACCCAATTGAATTTACACAAAAGTATATCTCATCCAGTCCACCTCCTCAGTTGCCTCATTTGCCTCATTTGCCTCCTTGGCTCTGGTGACTGGTCTACGTACTGGTCACACCAAACACTGTCCACGTCCACGTCCACCTCATCCTCAACAGCTAGATCCGCCTCATGAAGAGAATGTTTTATATGCAATGAGTTTACCATTATCATCAAGTGGTGTCTTATTCTAATAAATGCATGTCATGTGTGAGTTTTTCTCTTCATGCCAATACATTATTGAATCATGATGCTATAATAAAAATAATAAACCCGCTCTAAGTTTAATTAGGGATATAGATGTTATAATATGTGGCATACATTTTGGAATTTGGAGGAGGAGGAGATAAACGTTGAAACTTTCTACTGATCATCAGATATCAATGAACATCATAAATCAAGTTGAACTTAGTTTTGTATATGCATGTCTATTAATTTATTTATAATTAACGAAGAAGCGTTTAAAAGTTATATCAAGTTGAAACATTTCTGCTTCTGATTGGAGTCACTACTAGGCAGAGAAATTGATCATCATATATGTCAATTTGCATAAGTGATTGCCAGCAATGCGGGAAGATTGCATTTCAAAAGGACAATTTTGAAATCAATTTGGCTAGGAAAAATTAATTCTGGCAAGGGATATCATTTACGTAGTGGGAATCCTACAATCCAGACTCAGAAAGACTAATATACCCTTAAATTTGACGGAAAAGATTAGAATTTTGACAGAAGAACCACTAGTGCAATGTATGGTTAAGTTGGAAAGCGGAAAAAACTAAAATGAGAATCTAGAGACGAAAGCTAAAAAATGGGGTAAAGTTGAGGGCCACCACGCACCCTCTATATACATACATACATACATACATACATACATACATATATATGTATATATATCATGCTTCTTACATCATATAGTCATATGTCATCAATGGCAACCCCTTGGCCATGACAATGAACTGATCACCATTTGACTAGCACTTGAAGAAGCAGGCTTTATGTAGCAGTTTGACGACACTATTTTACATTCAGCCACCACATGCTCCACATCTGATGAAGAGGCCGCCTGCGGCAGTGGGTGCAGGGTAGAATCCGAAGATGGCAGCTCCTCTCCTTTCATCTGATCTTCTCCCGTCATCATCTCCACAACTTTCACTTGTACACCTTCATCAATATCATCATCATCATCACAGATTGAAACTTCTGCCATAACTCTTAGAAACTGCTCCAGCGCTTTGCGCATCCATTCATACCGGCAGACTCTAAAAGCCTCCTTTATGCTTAGCTATATCCGTACATATTAATTCCACATAGAGTTTAAATAATTAAAAATCAAGTCTCTACTTTAGATAATTAATATGTTATAGAAATATGTACGTAGTACTAATTACGTACCCATTTTCTGTCACGGTTTAGCTGCTCTGGCCAGGTATCAAGCTCTAGAGTGACCTCCAACGCAAACATGTATCCTCTGCATCCTCCATCCAGGCTGAGGCTGCACATTTCCTCTCTACTTTTGCTTCTGAACTCCCATACTCCCAGCGGAGTTTCCTGATCGAGAGAAAAAATATACAGACAAACCAGTTATATATAACGTTAAGGTTCTTATGCTTCATCATTAATTTCCTAACAATCATCAAACCAAATACAAATAAAATTAAGCACAATTAGTACGTACTCTTAGGGTTCCTTTGACCCCTGCTTCCTCAAAGGCTTCACGACAAGCAGCTTCTAAAACAGTCTCATCATCCTCCCATCCACCCTGACACAGACACACACACGCACACATTTGAAGCTAATTAATTAAACCATGCAGCAGATCGTGATGAATTAGTATCAGTTAATCTGGAAATAATGAAGTAATTAATTAAGATGGATGCATACTTTTGGGAAGACTCTGTCATGACGATCTGGTGAAGAAACCATAAGAACTTGTATCCTGTTCTCAATATCACCAAATTGGTCGTCTCCATCGTCTTCTGCTATCCGGTAAGGAATGCATCTGTTGCAACACATGCAAGTACGACCTAGCTCTATGAGTACGTAGTATTCCAGAGTGAATTCCTTCCATAGTATATTTTAAACGTAAGGGTAATGCTAAAGTAACCGTTGTTTTAAATCTTATTTGTAAATTATACAATGTGACAATCAAATAAGACTCTAGGATTTACATAATTTAAAAATGTAGATCAAACGTCCACAACCACGTCATGTAATTTACATAATATGATTAAAAAAGATGGTTACTATTATCATAATAATTTTGTGATTAAGAATTCCGTAAATGAGACAAAAAAGATCGCGCAAAATATAAAAACATAAAGAAAGTTAAGTCATGCCTTATTGTAAGTTGTAATTGATATGACCTATGAGATGAAGACAATTTGCATGCATCCATCAAACAGCAAAGTCAAGTGTATATAGCTAACTATATATATTGCTATTGTATTACCAGTGGTTATTAGTTAATTGGGACTTGGTACCTTGTGTTTTTATTTTCTTTTGGTGATCCGTACTATATATCATATTTATTATCAGTAATTTGATTATTTTTTACTTTCATCGAATTCTAAAGTATTACAATTTGAACGCACTCGATCGATCGAGAGGAAAGACAAATGAATGGAAACTTGACTAATAACGCTGCAGCAACTGATTAACACAAGGGACGGAAAATCACGCGCCAACAGTAAAAATATACACATATATGTAAGTGAAATGAAACTCAGAGAAACCCCCAATTAAATGAAACTCAGACGAAAGTATTTGATGAAGCAATGAATGGAAAAGAAGGGCATACTATTGCTACATACGTACCCAGAAACGAGTCGGAAATTGTTGTCATAGCGTTGCCGATGTCGCCCAGTTCGCGCTAGTAGCACAGAAGATGACATGATGATGTGTGTATATATATATTCTTCTATATATCTACCGAAACTATCCTTCAAACCCAAAGCCAAGAAAATTAATTAATTAATTAATAAAAATGAATGAGGTAATTTCGATCTGATTCTAAGGTAGAAGATCGGTTTAAAAAAAAACAAAAACCACAATAATTAGAAGCATTAAGAGAGAGAGAGATACAAGTAAAGCTAGAACAAGAGGAATTAATCAATAAAGATATTTGTATATATTGATTTGGAAGGTAGGTTACGTACCAGGTAATTAGTTTTGTATGAACTTCGAGGAAAAAGAACCAGCTGTACTACCTAGCTAGCTAGCTTTCATAACATAACACAACAAATTACTTAAATTATCGTCTCTTTCTCTCTCGATCGATCAAGAAAAAATTCTTATTAAATGATCAGCTAGCTCTCATATATCTCGTCAACAAATAAACTCGACCGATTATAAGGGCTGGTCAAGGCCAGCTGCTGCTAGCTAGCTTTGAACAATGCAGCACAACATTTACGTCCAAAGATCGACCCTAATAACTCTTAGTTTCTCCCAAGAGGCGGCCGGACAAGTTGCCAACTGACTTGTATATATAGATATCTTTGTGTCAGACACAAGAGAAGAATCTACATTATACTGCAGCTTTTCCTGGAGATGAGTAAAATTAGAAAGGGAATAATACAGAACAAGAAATATCGATGGAATAATGATAATGTCGAGGGAATTTCAAAGAAAGAACTAACAGAGAGAGAGAGAGAGAGAGAGAGAGAACGAGGTGAGAGGGTGAGGGCCAGAGATTTCCGCGGGACCAGAGCAACGGCATCCATTTATAAGAAAACCGTGCCAAGTTCATTTCCATAACGTCCCCAACTCCATTAAGTTATTTTTATTATTTTATCGTTATACAATGGCAACTGGCACCTCCTTATATGTTATAACTGATGACGATTGAATTAACTTTCAATTAAAATTCAGTTTTTCGGTAAATATATCCATCCAACCAACTTAATTAGCAACTAGAGCATAGAGAATTGTGATTATATGTATGCTGCCAAACATTGATTAATATGCATGAATAATTATGTATTAACGCACCTTAATTAATCTTCCACTTTATATATAGGTTGCTACAACAAGCTGCGATGGATGTAGAAGTGATAAGCATTTCATTATTTTTAATTTTCCTTGGCGAGTCGGCGATCGTGGCTTTGCTAAAGCATGCATGCATTTTATAAAAGAAAACTAATGAAAATGACTTGAAAACTTTGAGTTTTAACAATAAAGACAAAATAAAGGATAAAATGAATAATAACATAATTAACTTTTTAGAGTAAAAATATAATTTTTCGTTAAAATAAACAGTATCATAAATTTTTCATTAAAGTTCTTTTTTTATAATTTATTTGCTTTGCCTTTGACGTGGAAGATTTGTAAAAAGAGAACCAAAAGTAACCCGAAGCACGCAAGTTAGCATGGCCGTCGATAATGCGAGAAAACGATAGCCACGTGGTTAAGTAATATATACTAGCTAATAAATAGAGTAATCAAGTGGTGGGAAAATGCTCGATCATACAAAAAAAGCTAGATTTTATTAGTTAAAGATGACATGAGAAAACGATAGACGAAGCTTCGGCATACATAATGGTGATTGAGAAGTCAAAAGCATATCATTTTTTTTTCCACATATAGCTTTTTAACAACTTTAATTTTAATATCTTATATATATGTAAAGAGAACACAAAAGATGAATAGTATTTTTTGTGTCACTAAGCTTCAACAAAAATATTTGGATAAAAATACCTCCAAGACAAAAAAACTTTAAAGGCATCCCAAAATAATGCATCAAATAAGGTAGGGGTATTTTTATCATTTTAACAATGTTTTTTTTAATATTTAATTTTTTTGTGCTGTTTTTTTTTTTAAATTAATACATCACAATAGACTAGCAATAATATGATTCAATTTCTCTATTTTTAAACAAGTTCAAAATATTTTAAGATGTGTGTAATGCGGGTTATAAAAAAGTATTTCGCATGCGGATAATAATGTGATTAAATTAGTTGTCAAATGATTGTTTTTTTTTAACAAACGATATTATCTAACTAAGGGGGAGAGGGATGAGCTTAGCCTCACAATGGGTTAGCAATAATGTGATTCAATCAGTTGTTCATTCAATATTCTTTTCTCTATTTTTAAACACGTTCAAAATATCTTAAGAAGCATGTAATGCCAGTTATAAAAATGGTTTTTCGCACGCAGATAATAATGTGATTAAATTAGTTGTCAAATTATTGTTTTTTTAACAAACGATATTATCTACACTAAGGGGGAGGGAGTGAGCTTAGCCTCACAATGAGTTAGCAATAATGTGATTCAATCAATTGTTTATTAAATATTATTTTTTCTATTTTTTAATGTAAATTCTATAGAGACTGATTTTATTATGTAAATTCAGTTGTTTTAATTGATTTATGAGGGGTTTCTTCTAGCATGATCTAAGATTATTCATTTACTTCAAATATTTGACTTTCCTTTTGTCAATTTACGCATATAAATACACTTAAAACGTGTAAGTCATGCGTAGCATGCCGTGATTCAAAAAATGCTTTATGAAGGCTGGTAATATTAAGCGCGTGCATGAAGGCTAGTAATATTATAAGCGTTGATCAAAATCCTCTTAGTCTCCGGTTTCAGTTTTTCCTTGCAGTTGCTGATCTATTAACTAATAAAAAATCAATAAAAGGTAGCATACCTCATGCAAAGTGTATGTCTAGGTACGTAGCTGACATATGTATATCATCATACATAATTGCATTGGAATTTCAGTGACGTTCCTGGAAAAACTGCACGAGCTAGTGCTGCAAAATAGTTACTAATCAAATTAATCAAAGGCATGCGCATTGATTCTTTTGGGCTAGTGCGCAATGCATATATGCAGTTTGCTTTAGCATCGATATAGCTATAAGGCTAAACTCGACTTGAAAGTGGCTAATTATTTTTCAGTCGAGCAATTTTTCGGCCAAATTACGATGAGTTAGTCATCGAAAAATGTACTATTATCTTTATCTCGTCGAGAAGTAGGATTTTCGTTTATGAATCACTTGATTTCGTTGAGTATTGAAGAAGTTATGAAAGTTTAAAGTTTATCCAGTTTTCAGCGAGTTTTCCAGTTTTCCTATTGACCAGTCACCTTTCAGGTTATTTTTAGGCCATCTCCGGTAACCATTGGGCTTCCAAATAGATATAATCTTATTCTACACTTTCCTATCTTCATTTTGATATATTATGGGTCGAATTTGGTTAAGAATCGATTGAGTTATGAAGTTTTGAAAATTGCCTAAAATTTTTTTTAACGGAATGACCAAAATCATGAATAGTGGACAATCTCATGGACCATTTCTATTGATTTTCAGTATCATAGACAATTTCTATTAATTATATAAATTTCAGAGACCATTTTGACTATTTAGCTGGCTATAATTAAGCCTATAAGCTATGGGTTACCATCCACGACTCTCTGCGACTGTGACTCTGACTGTGAAGCACCTAATTCTGTGGTGTATATATATTGATCTCATCTCAACGTAAATTTGTAATATAGGCATCGACCCATCGATATTTTCTGAACAATTATATATAAATTTATAATATAGGCATCGACCCTATTGTTGTGGCACGAGACAGATGCCTTGACTTTATATATACATACATACATATATTGATAGTACTTTCTTTCTTTCATGAATAAGAACATAAATACATACATATATACTTTGGTTCCCGACCACGCCCTTACAGTTTTGTTTCTGTGAACTCACACCCTTACAGTTTTGTTTCTGTGAACTCACACCCATCCTATGGGCCCAAAGCACGCCCTCACAGTTTTGTTTCTGTGAACTCACGCGAGCAGAACTTCCTAGTGGGTCACCCACGCCCTCACAGTTTTGTTTCTGTGAACTCACGCGAGCAGAACTTCCTAGTGGGTCACCCATCTTATGATTAGTCTCGAGCGATCTCGCTTAACTTCGAAGTTCCTATGAAATCTAAAGCCAGTGAGCTCCTAAAATGCCTTGTGCTATATGGAGGTGAGCATGTACATATAAGACATAGATGATCCAATCTCCTAGGCGATGTGGGATCTAACATATATAATTAAAATCATGTATATTTATAGATTATAATATATATATATATATATATATATATATAAAGAGAAGAACACCATAAAATGGTGAAGCATTCAAAATACCATAAATTGTCCTTCAAGAATTTCAAAAAATACAATTGAACCAAAAGGAGTTAAAGTAATTCACAATATTTTAATTTTGGATGAATTTTAAATTTTAAATTTTAGAAAAAAAATTAAAACAAAAACCTTCCACGTTAGTAATTCAGTGAACGAAGAGCATGTTTACTTACTATGAGAAAGGTACATATATAAAAGTTTATATATGAGAGAAACAACCCTTTCTTGGAAATGACGAGGATTCTCTCCGGATCCTCTTTGTGGGGATTCGAGATCAATCAATCGTGTCCGTTTATCGTATATTGTGCAGTTAGTTTTCGTTAAGTACTATTTATATTAAATTTTAAATTCAAAATTCAAAATGATTTCTAACCGTACAATGTACGATGAATGGACTTGATTGATTGATCATCCGGATCCCCACAAAGAGAATCCGAAGAGGATCCTATTTCCCTTGGAAATCCTATATTTTGATTTTTTTTTAAGCATGAAAAAATATGAAACAATAATGAAAATCAATTTCAATACTTAATTGCTAGTAAACACATAAATAAGAATCATATTCACCCTTTCAAAAATTTGGTTTGTTTTGAACCACATTATTATTAACTCATTGTGAGGTTTGCCCCATCCTCCATCCCTTTAATGTAGATAATATGGTTTGTTAAAAAAAAAATTGGTTTGTTAATAAACATAAAAATAAGAATATTACTATTTCTTACAAATTTATTATTTTTCGAAAAGAAATTTATTATGGCGTCCACATGGCTGTTTTCTACCTAATAACTTTTTTCCCCTTCAAAATTTCTTTGTATCTTTTATTTATAAAGGGTGAAGCAATCATAATGCTAAATTGTCCTTCTATTAAAGATTTAGAAAAAAAACATATAAGGTGGTTAATAAGTTCATTATTTTTCAAAATATGTTTAAGAAAAAACAATATCTCAAATAAATAAAATTAAAACAATTAAAAAAAAGTAAATTGTCAGACGTCTGCAGGTGTGGCAAGAGACTGTCTAATAAAACAAGAAAGACTTGACTTAGTGGTATTTGGACGCAATCGATGAAGTCATAGTCTCATGGCAAAGGACATTTGTCTTAATGAATATATAAATTGTACGTATACAAAAGGAGAAAAGGAAAAGGAAAAGGAAAAGGAAAAATTCTCTAATAAAACAAGAAAGACTTGAGTTAGCGGTATTTGGACGCACTCGATGAAGTCATGGTCTCATGGCAAAGGACATTTTGTCTAAATGAATATATAAATTGTATGTATACAAAAGGAGAAAAGGAAAAGAAAAAGGGAAAATTCTCATTAGCACTTGAAAAAGTCGTGATGCCCTTCCTTTTCTTTTATTTTTCACTTTGAGAATGCTGGTCATTAGCTCTAGAAAAAGAGGGTGTATTATGCATTTTGGGAATTGTATTGGTAGGTCTTATTTGTAATGTATTAGCAAAATCTTTTAAATTGCAGTCTTCCTACTATTATTCCTCAACGAAACGCCCTAAATTCGACGTTGGTCAATGGGGGCATATCCGTATATGGCATAAAATGTTGGTAGCCTTTCACATTCCAAACGGGAATCTCCTTTGTTGCCTCGTAGAATGAGATAGTTAGGAATTCATTTAGAGAGCTCAATAGAGATACTTTTTA